TGGTAGGGGATTGAGTCCTGGAGAGAGGAGATGGTGCAGAAAGAGCCGGAAAGGGGCCCGGTTACCACACACTTCGGTGCCTCCTTGGGAACAAGCTAGAGGGCATTCCTACACAATCTAGAGTAGGGGTCTAGAGCAACTTACCCCCTGGCCCAATCCAGCCCCCCACCTATTTTTGTAAATAAAGTTTTATTGAAACAGAGCCATGCCATTCATTTGGGTATTGTCTGTGGCTGCTTTTGTGATACAAAGGCAGGGTTGAATAATTGTAACAGAGACTGTCCTACAAAGCCTAAGATTTTTATTCTCTAGCCCTTTATAGAAAAAAAATGGCCAATCTCAGGTCTAGGGACTTCATTCACACAGACTGCAGCAATTAGGATCATGGAACTTCGAGTCAGACAGACTTGACTGATATGAATGGTACTACCTGGAATTGTGCAGTGTACAGCCTGTGCAACTGTAAACATCAGCCCTGCCAGGGAAGGTTTTCCTGCAAGTTTTGGGGTGCTCAGGAGAGGGAAGAAAGCAGTATCTGGGAAATGTCCTCCAGACAAGGCCTCCAATGCTGGAGGCCTTAGTTCCTGCTGAAAGCCACCAGCCTGAGGTTTGGGAGGATCAGAGCAGGCAGAGGAAGTGAGTCTAAATTTACACTCTCCAAAGCCGCTTTGTAAACTAGAGCCCCAGGAATCCCAGAAAGGGACAGTTGGCACACACCACCAATCTCTGCTTTGCCTCCACATGTTAAAAGGCTGGATGCATGAGAGGATAATTAACTGGCCTCAAATAAGAGACTGATGGAAAGTTGGTGAGAAATCAGTGGAGAAAAGAAGCACCATTGCTAGGAGTCCTGGGGTAGAGATTTCTACTCCTGTGTTTTTTACGATGTTCACCATGGAACTGTGGGAGCCTTGCTGCCCTTGGAAGAGTTACATGTGTTCTTCTCGCTGACTGTCATTTGAGCACAGCTGAACCCATGACCTTTCCGCCTCTCAAGGTGAATGCCAGCTCCCTGGTTCCAAATCACACCTGTGATTCAGAGCAGCTGTGAGTCACCACCCCTAAATGGAGAATGACTGTGCTTTGCCCTGAGATGCTGCATCACACCAAGTGCTGCCATACTCACTCCTCTGCCCAGATGGGCACATCCAGATGCCGGATGCGCCCCTCTCCAGGGCCGATGGGCCCACACCTCTTGGTACACCATGCAAGAAAATAGCCCTAATCCGAGACTTCTTAGGTAATTGGCATTTCATAATCAGTCCACCTGTAGGGAAAGGCAAAGCGTTTACGGTAGAAATTATAGAGGAATGTTAGGGGAAAACTTAGAAAATAAGCAGGTTTGAGAAGAGATGAATAACAGTAAACTCAAATGGGAACAGAGAAATGGTCAGATGAAGGCTGCCTTTTCGTGTTGAAATGCTAAGAGAGGCAGCATCTAAGCAGATGATACTGAAGTTCAGAGATATTGGTTTGTCTGAGCAGTTGGGGCTTGCTGTGTGAAGATCCCTGTTGCAATGAACACGTTGCATTGGGGCAGCGATGGAAAGGGGAGGAGGCTGACCATCTAGGGAAGGTAGGCATCACGGTTTCGTAGACATAACAAATGCACCTCAGGTAACTCCAATTCACAGTTATGTTCTAAGCACTACTTTGTGTCCTGGGCTTGAGAAACTCAAAGCCTAGTTGAGAGATGGACATGTATAAAAAGTTAAGGAACAGCCCAGATTAGTATATGGTAAATCAGAGAGGAAGTGAGACTTCATCTGGATTTGGAATGATGGACAGGATTTTAACAAGTGGGGAGGAAGCAGGATATTTCAGGAACCAGAAAGGTGCAAGCAAAGAAGCAGGATGGGAATGAAAAGAGTGTATTTAGAGACCATGAATGAGGATGGTGGATTGGCTGGAATCGAGCCTTCCCAAGGTGACAGGGTTCCTGCTGATAGCATGTTGGGCAGACCACTGAGACACACACACACACACACACACACACACACACACACACACACAGATATTTCCTCCCCCTGTGAGAGGAAGAAGAAAGAGTTTTAAAAATAAAGCCCCTCTTAATTATCCACAGATTATCTGCACTGCAGCTGATGTGGAACAAATCCTGCCTTCAGCTTGCTGGTGATGTCATCTCCCTGCTTAGGTGCTCATTCCTGTCTCTGTTTACAGCCCATGGGGAGCCGGAAAGGGAAGAAGGCTTCAGCATCTCCCCTTATAAAGCAATATATAATTTCCTCTGTTTGCTCTGCCCTTGGGAATCAGGCCAAGTATATGGGTAGAAAGTGAAAGGTGTTCCAGTTTAGTTTCTGTTACCAGACTTGGGTAGCAGGAGTTGGAGGAGGGATGGAACGGGGTCCCAGGTGGCTCTTTTGTTCCCCTAAATTAGGTGTCCAGGTGGACTTCACAGCACAGGCCATAGACAGGCTCAGTGGGTGGTCCCAGCACTGTCTCTAACTGGCTAGGAATCCTCAGAGTGAATGGTGTTCCTTTATCAATTCATCAAATGTTTACTGACCCTGTCTATGCTAGAAGCACTGAGCTGGTGTTCCCTGAGCTTCAGTGCCCTTATCTGTAAAGTGAGAACTCAGACTAGAATCGTAGTCTCTCAGTGGAGTTGCTGGCATTTGGGGGTGGGTGTCAGTTATTCACTGATAGTGATGCTTGGCAGGATGATTGGCAAATCTGGCCCTGCTCATTAAAGGCCTGTAGTGACTCCTCGTCAGAGCAGCTAAGGAAGGCAGGACCACCGCCGGTTGAGGGCCACAGGACTTGTTTGTTACAATTATTTCCCAGCCTTAAGTTCTGATTATTTTGCTGCTGGGCCCGATAAAAACGTGCAGAGTAGAATTGCTGAAGATTGATGAAACATCAGAATATTAGGTACATCTTATTCAAGCATAAGGGAATTTTTAACAATAGCAACAACAGGTAACAACTGTTGAGCAATTACTATGTTCCAGACTCTTGGTAAATTTCTTTCATTAGTAGTCTTTAGAGGGCGTCTGATTATTTACTATTTCAGGTCATCTCTGTCCCCTAATTTGCCCCCTTGGTTTTAGAACATTGAGTTGACTGTTGTTTTGCTTCATTTATCATTTGCAGAGTTCAGATGTGAAAGTAGCCCTACAGGGGACCCTACAGGATTATGGGAATTAAGAAGCAGCCCTGGCTAGATTCAGTCCTTTGCGCAGGATATAGTGTTTGTTCTCTCTGTGTGTGTGGACTTTATAAACTTATAAAACCTGTCACTTCCTTAGAAGCTATGATATTGCCTTTACTTCAGAGGTCTGAATTTACATTGCTAGTTTTGCCATTTTTTTCTCCCCACTTAGGTCCTATGCCTGTAATTTGAGTCAGCAGCCACCAGGGAGCAGTCAGGATATGATTTGACTCATTGCTTTGAAGAGCTAGGTTCCCATTATCAAAAAGAATACAATTCACCATGCCAGCCCTGGTGTCATGCTAAGAAGTCTGTGCCCTGCTTTGCTGTGCAGAAAATCCCTATTCCAGGGGGGCAATAAAATTTCCTTATAATCTGGTATGTATGCTTATGCTGCCTACATGGGCAGCAAGAGATACAAAGTAATTAAATCTCAGTGCATGGCAAATTCTCTCAAAATAGTCAAAGACATTTGCAAAAGAAGGAAGAAAAGGGGTCCAAGTAGAAAAACAAAATTATTGATCCTTTATTTTCTGTCTGCAACTAGTTACTTTTTACTCTCACCCTTCTCAGCTAGTGCTGCTGTGTATGTCTGGAGAGCATAACAAATGATTTTCACAAAGGTCAGAGCTGATCATTGCCACCCACAGTTTGTGCATATTAACCTTCGGGGAGCAGGCATTTACATAAAAGTCATACCAGTTGATGATCTTATCAAATCAATCCATCTTCTCTCCCTTCCAGGGGAGCGCCGCACACAGCAGGCGGTGTGGCTGGGCAGTGCAAAGCCTGGAATCCCCTGAGCAAGCAGTGTTTCAGCTGGCTGGACAGATCAAATAACACTTGGGCTGGTTAACAAAAGACACACAAGTGGGAAGGTGCTGGAAGCTGAAGTGTGGAAATTTACCCAACATTGTTTCTTTGACAGGAAAGGAGACTTGGTCTGAAAGATGCTGCATTCCTGCCAGCCCCTCTGGATCCAGCAGAACACTGTCTCATTCAAGGTAGTATGGATGAGGGGGTGACAGAGGATGCTGCCCACATCTGAAGCCTCCAGAGGATCCTGGCTGGACAGCTGAGCTGCCCTCAGGTCTGGGACTTCAGGTGTAACTTGGTGTAGAGCTCATGAAAGGCGCTTGGATTTCTCCAGCTTTCTTCACCAATGCTCAACAGACTGGTTTGGGTTTCAGAATCTAAGAGGAGCTGGTAGAAAGGAGAGCTGGCAGAGGTATAAAGAAGTCCCTACAAGCCTCTAGAATCCATTGTTGGGATATCTTCATACTGCTCGGGACACAGAGGGCAGCTCCCAAGCTGCTGAAGGCTGTGATACGACTGAGCTTTGGACCATTGAAAGTAAAAGAACACAGCTCAGCAACAGCACCACATTTCAGCAAGAAGGAGCCTCTTTTAACAAAGGATTTAAAGGGGAGAGTTTCTGCATCTCTACTTTGTGGTCCATCATGATGGAGAACTTTACGTTCACATAGATAAAGAGACTGGTTTTTCTTTCCAATATGCTATATTTGAAAGAATCATGAGCCATTCTAAGCTTCCAGGGAGGCTCAGGATACATAGGAGTTGGTGGACAGCCTTCCCAGTACAGGTTAAGGAAACAGTCTGAGCCTCCAACTTCTGCAGCTCAGCGAGTATGGACATATGCCACTCTTGTCTCCAGGGAGCTGGTGGCAGTGACATCACCCGGAGAAGAACCATCCCTCAGCCTTGGGACTTGACAGAATGAGGTGTGCTGGGGAAGCCACGAGCTGGGACTTGGCCTTTCCTGACTGCCCCTTCATCCCATGGTCAGCCCCTGACCACTGAGCCAACGATGGCTGAGAAGGGCGACTGCATCGCCAGCGTCTACGGGTATGACCTTGGCGGGCGCTTCGTTGACTTCCAACCCCTGGGTTTCGGCGTCAACGGGCTGGTGCTGTCGGCCGTGGACAGCAGGGCCCGCCGGAAGGTGGCCGTGAAGAAGATCACCCTAAGCGACACCCGCAGCATGAAGCATGCACTCCGGGAGATCAAGATCATCCGCCGCCTGGACCACGACAACATCGTGAAGGTGTATGAGGTGCTGGGGTCCAAGGGTGCCGACCTGCAGGGCGAGCTGTTCAAGTTCAGCGTGGCCTACATCGTCCAGGAGTACATGGAAACCGACCTGGCGCGCCTGCTGGAGCAGGGCACGCTGACGGAGGAGCATGCCAAGCTCTTCATGTACCAGCTGCTCCGAGGACTCAAGTACATCCACTCCGCCAACGTGCTGCACAGGGACCTGAAGCCCGCCAACATCTTCATCAGCACGGAGGACCTCGTGCTCAAGATTGGGGATTTCGGGTTGGCGAGGATTGTCGATCAGCAGTATTCACACAAGGTATGTCTGTCCAGAATGGCTGATACGGGTGGTGCATGTAATCCTCAAGAACGCTCAGTGTTCAAGAGGGCATTCCTCGCTCCCGTGGAATCAGAGGACTGGGGTCAGTATTTGGGGGAGGCTGGAGGGTGCTAGAAGGATCACGGGGCTGAAGTTGTTGCTGGGGGAGCAGGGAAGTTCTGGTTCTTAGTCTGGTCTGATGGTTCTGGCCACTAGTCATGGCTGTGACCGATGACTCAAGGCCGTACAAGAAGGGTTGGATTCGGTGATACGGCTCTAAACTCTATGGCTTTAAAATTGTGCTGCTGGGGAGTTCCTTGGTGGTTCAGTGGTTAGGATTCCGGGCTTTCACTGCTGTGGCTCGGGTTCAGTCCCTGGTTGGGGAACTGGGATCCCACAAGGCATGCGGCGCAGCCCAAAAAAAAAAACAAAAACGTTGTGCAGCTGGTGAATTGCCTCTAGCACCCTCTTCTTCCTGCCATCCACCTAACCACCTACCCTGCCTCCTTTCTGCTCAGGACTCCCTGGGAGGCTTCCCACCACTGGAATCTTTTGCTCTGGCTCATCTCACCCCCTCCTCCCATCAAAGCTGCCCCACTCTGTGTTCCATTCTCTCTGTCCGTGGACGGAGGCATAAACGGTGAATCTGATCAACTAACTCTCGGTGTACATTATCCAGCTCATGGCTCGGCTCTCCCAGGCCCCTGATGTACTAGCCCCCTAGTGTGACGCTAAAGCCACAGGTGCTGACCCCCCACGGGGTGGGCGGCTAAATGCTGCAGCAGCAGCAGAGATCAGAGCGGACCCAGCCACACCGACCCTTGTTCTCAAGGCCCCAGACCTCTTCTTACCTAATCCACTGTGCCCTTCAGGAACTGGGAGTCCTCTGAAATTCTATTCCCCTTACCTCGGTTCCTGCCACTTTAGGGGAGTCTCTGAGCACCTCAGCCAGGCACCCCTCAACAGAGCTGTGGAGTGGCTGTGCTTTCCAGCCTCCCGCCCAAACTTTTGTATCGTGAATTTTTACTAGAATGAATACATCCCTCAGGAAGTAGGTGCACCGTGAACTGTTACCAGCCAAGGGGCTGGGGTAGGTGACGAGAGGGGAGGGGAGCTCTGCCCTTGAACATGCCTCAGCTTTCTCCCTGAGGCCCCATTCCTCTGCTCTCCCTCGCCACCCTATTTGCCTGCAGCCAGGAGGTCACGGACACCAAGAAACGTGCTGACCTGCCTGGTACGGCTGCAGCGGGGTGGGGGTGGGCGGAGCAGGGCTCCCTGTCCCACCCTGACTGGCTGGAACTTGGGGTCCAGCCCAGATTTCAGGCCTCGAATCAGCCCAGCTGGCTCTAGTTCCCTGGTGCTGCCTTAACCGTGAGCTTGCCCTCTGTCCCCCCTCCTGCAGCCAGGCCATCTGTCAAAACTGACAGCCGACTCTGTAGGAAGGAATGTCCATGGTAAAAAAAAAAAAAAAAAAAAAAATCATGCCCTTCTGTCTTCCTAACTCCCTGTGCTTTGTCTCTTTCTTCTGAGGAACAATGACCCCAAACAACTGAACCAACGGTTTTAATCCAAATCAGTTCTTATTTGGTAAAAGGACCAGAGAATCCATGACACTCTTATTTCTGGGATGCACAAAACCACCTTCTGAATTGGAATAAACCAGTACATTTGGGAGTCATAATAGGACCTTCCTCGACGAAAGGGTCTGATTAAGTGAAGTATTACAGGGAACGTGCGCAGAACAGCACGTGGTAAGCGTTTGGGAAAATCAGGGAAGGTGGTCACTGGGCCGAAGACTGGCTGTGGCAGCAATTCTTAGGACGTGTGTGGTTGTCTGAGAAGGTGATACTGTCTGAGGAGGCAGAGTCGCGGGCTCCCTTCTGACGGCGCTGACTGCGACGTGGACAGTCACCCTCTGCGAGCCTGCGTCTCCCCATCTTTGACAAGGATGATAATATGCTCCCTGCCTGCCCTGCTGGCCTGTGGTTGTGAATCAAAATGGAACATGAAAGCAAAGCCCCTTGTAAAGTAGTAAGGACCCCATCCGTTCATCTAATGAGCGTTTACTGAGTACACAGGGCCCGGGCCCTATGCTGAGAGCCCGGGAGGAGCCCCAGGTTCACGGACCACCGCAGGTGGCTGTGCTCCTGTCACTCAGGGGTGGGGAGCCACCTCTCCATTTGGAACTTTCATTTTCCTGTTGCAGAGGAATTCAGATGCTCTGACTTCCTCTTCGTGTGCTCTCTTCAGTAAAATTAGCCGTGGGAGGTTAAAAAAGAAATCACCGGAGCCAGCTACGATCCCAGTAGGTGTTCACATCAGCGCTGCGTTTGGCAGGTGTCCCGTGCCCCCACCTGCTTCCTCCCCCATATACTTTCTGCTTTTACCTTCCTCCCTGCTCTGCCCCGAGTGATGACGAAAGCTTTATATGTGGTGCCTTTATTTATCTGATGTACATTTAAATCAGTTCTCATTTAATTCTCAAAATGCCGTGAGGCACTTCGGGCAAATGGTCCATTTTAAAACGGAGAGAATTGGCATTCTCAAGATTACTTGGCTGACTGTGGCAGAAGGGACGTGAGAACCTGGCCTTCTTGTTTCCTGATGGATGACCTTTCTGTGTGCTGTCTCCTTCACGAAGGCTTTCTGGGTCTCCAGTTGGAATGAGTCCTTCTTTCCTTTGAATTCCCCACCCCCTAACCTGGATCTTCCAGCGCCCACCATTCTCTGCTCTGTTGTACTGTGTGTGTATCTGCGTCTTCCATGCTCTCCTAGGCCGAGAGCTCCTTAGTTCCTGATGGCCGTGTCATGTTCATCTTGGTTTCCTCCAGGGAGTCTAATCCCGTGCCTGAGACATGGCCCAGTTGATGGTGTTGACTGTCTTGAACTAATGGAAGAACTGTCATTGGCCAGCACATTACAGATAGGAAGCTAGTTGGGCTCATTGATTCCATGTGCTTGGGAGGTTGGACTCTCAGAGAGAGAGCACGGCATTCTTCCAGCCAATGAATTGGTGGGGGTCAGACGTATGCATCTGCTTTTCCTGGTGTGTTTGGAGGACAGTGCCTATATGTGAATGGCTCTAAACTGACCCCTCCTAAAGTTTCATGGATACTGTGCTTGCCTTGAAGAGGATCGTGCTCACCTGGGCTGCAGCTAGTGCCTTTGCGTGGGCCACAGCCCCTTGCCAGGGACGGGCTTTGTGATCCGGCCGGGGGGCTGGACTCGGATGCAGCAGCCGGTGTTCACTCTCCTCATTGTGACCTTCTCACGGGTGGACAGCAAGCCTCCTTCCCTTCCACATCCCCTCATCTGGCACAGGGCCTGGCACAGGGTAGGCGTCCACTGTGTTTGTCTGGTAAACGAGGTGCCGGAGGAAATGGCCTTCTCTAATGAACAGCTGGCAGCACTGGGGCTTTAAGTCACAGTCAGGGAGCATTCTGAGCACGTATTCCCCTACCACACCATCCCAGGGGTGTTGGTCTTTGCAAGGCAGAGGGCAACTGGAGGCCCCGGTTGGCCCACACTGTCAGGAAGATGGCAGTGGGTGGCGACGGGGGTGCTCTGATGGCTCTCACTCAACAGACACGGTATAGAGGCCCCTGGTTTCTCTGTGTGATTAACTGCATGACCTCAGGCAAGTCCTTTTCCTTGGATAGCTTACTCCCAGAATAAGGGATCTATAAGGAGACCTCCCAATCACCTTGTCCATTCCTTCCATTTCACAGATGGTAAAACTGAAGCCTAGGAAGGAGGAGAGACTTGCTCAAGACCACACGAGGAGTGGCTGAGCCAGGAGTACAATGTCCAGTTTTCTCTGAGCTCCTTCTCAATTGTCTTATCTGCCGAGTGGGGTCATCAGTTCCATTCTCCTTATTTCGCAGGATTCTTGTTAGAGTCACATGAAAGCGGGGATGTCAAGGGCTTTCAGATGTACAGGGAGCTAAATCATGAACAGAACCTACTTGCCCAGTAGATGCCATGGTAACACCAGGCAGACACCCACATGTCAGTTTCCCCTCCACTGACTTATGGACCCAGCTCCTGACGTGATGGCCAAAGGGTGAGTCGTGAGGTCCTACCTGATGGCGGCTGCCCTGCCTGTGGTCCTGTCATGAACCCCTTTCTGCCTGCCTCCTGGGCAGGCCTGCTAATTAGTTCCTTGTGTTTGTGTCAAGAAGAGGCAGCTGAAGGATCAGAGCATGTTTTCCATTGAATTTATCCTATTAGGAAGTAGATGATCTCAAAAGAGAAAAAAAATGTAGTTTAAGACTTCACTAAGTCCTGTGTAAATTCTAAGACGTGTCAGGAGCCCCCAGAAGAGGGTGCAGAGGGCTGAGCAGCATGTTGACAGTCTGATTAGCTGTGTGAACGCATCCGTTCAGGAAGGGGCCTGGGAGAGGGAACAACATTTTGGCCTTGCTGGGGCTGCCAGCAGACTTGCCTTTCCTGGGGGCAGTAAGCAGAAAAGCAAGCAAAGGAAAGAAAGCAGGAGTAAGAGGTCCATAAGTATGTTTTGGTGGATCATCTGAGCAAGTCTAAGTTTTCTGCTAGGCTGGCCTGCCTTTGAGCCCTGACCCCTTTCTACTTCAGAACCCTGTCTTCTTACCTCATGGTTCATGATCAGAATGTTCTCACACGCTGCCTCCGTATCATGAAGATTCCTTAGAAATCAACTAGTACGGTGGTCCTCAAAGTGTGGTCCTGGACCAGCAGCACCAGCTTTACCTGGGAACTTGTTAGAGATGCAAATTCTGAGGTCCCACCTCAGACCTACTGAATCGGAAACCCAGGGTGGGGCCCAGCAAGCTGTGGTTTAGCCTCCAGGTGATTCTGAGGCCTGTGAACGTCTAAGCATCACTGACCTGAAGATGTGGAGTAGCTTGTCTGTGGACAGAAAGCGGACGCCCCTGGTGTGTCTGCTGCTGCTTGCGGCCAAGGTTCTCAAACTTGAACACAATGAAACAGGCTAGGAACTCCTCCCAGGTAACACAAGTGTG